TTAGCGTGAAAAGTCTAACAGGAACCTTTTAGTTCCAGATGTGTTGTTCTGCTTCCCCTAGTATGACAGAGGTACTTAAAATTAAAGTTCAAAGATGCTGCGCCGGTGGAACTAACTACATATTTCCTGACATTTGTGCCTGTCAGCACAGGGGTGGTTAGACTGCTATTTATAAATCCGAACTTAATTCATTCTCATACCAAAGGGAGCAGTCAAAACCCCAGAGAGAAATCAGGGCCAGTGCACCAGAGGCTTTTTCCTAACTTATTTCTGGCTGCGTTGTGTTCGGAAGAAAGATACACATAGCAAACACAGTCCAATCCCAGCCCTCCTCTGCTGAGTCAGAGTCAGCTTCTTAGGTCTTATGGATCTCAAGTCATAAAGGCAGGATGGTCTTGTGGCTTAAGATATGGACTCTGAGTCAGAATAGTTTATTCATGAAAGAAAAATGCTCCTTTTGTTTATTAGCATATTATTCTCTAGGGACCCCTGGTGGCCTAGTGGTTAGCATGCAGGACACTCACCGCTGCGACCCAGGTTCGAATCCCAGTGTCCCCGGGCAGATGGAGCCCGTTAGCCCTGTGAGGCCATCCATCTATGAGAAGGACACTCTAAACAAACCTACGTCCTGAGGACCTCACTGCCATTGTCCAAGCTTGCTTGGCCCCGGCAGATGAACCTTAGGATTAAAGGGTGGGCTCAGTTCAGCGCAGGCTGTGTCTCACCTAAAAAATCCATTGCGCAGGCTGGAAAGGTAAAAGACCTTTCCCCAAATCTTCGTTCGCGAAGACTGGCCATTATATATATTTATATATATTATTCTCTAACTGGCCTAAGCATATTGCCACTAGAAAGTTTCAGCTGTAGGCATTTTAAAGACGAATAGGGTAAAAAAAGGGAGGCCCAATCGACATTTGATCATTTCTGCAGCAACATTGCATTTATCCATAACTAACTGTCCTGGTAGGAAAAGGACAAGCACCAGGGTAAATACCAGAAATATTCAGATTTGTGTTTCAGTCTAGCTAAAGTCCTGTTGATTAAGCTGGGAATGTTGATTAAAGACCTCAAGCTGTGACCCCCAGCAATTCAGTCAGGTTACTCCTGCTGCTCAGCAAGGCTTGAGTTAAATTAGAAAGCAGGATAGAGCGTCAGTGAGTTTATCAGCTCTGAGCAGTGTGTTTCTATGCAGATAACCTGCAAGTACCTCTCTGCTCAGCCCCGGAGTCTTATGGTGGATTCAATAGCTTGTCTGTCTGCTGGTGGGAGATATTAGAGTCCTTCAAGAAAAACCTCCTAAAAACTAATCCTGCTTTGCACCAATCCTCTGGAAATCAGTCATTCAGTCCATATAGTTAATGATCAGTTGGTGGGTTAATAGCCAAACTTGAAGTCAAGGGTTATTAAAGCTTAAAAAAATCTTAACCACTCAGTGGCTGTCGTCAAAGAAAATATTCAGTTATTTTTTGATGGTTACTTCTCCCTCTAGGCTGCCATGGAGACGGACAAGGGATATTTTAACTTGTCAAGGCAATAGCACCATAGCAACAAAACCCTGAGAAGCCCATCAGTTTGGTGTACAGGACCTGTTTTGCATATTGGGCCTTTGATCTTTAAGAGTACTTAGCACTGCCATTTTTTTATAAGTGTAGTGAAGAGGTAAATAGGTGCCTTGTTTAAGTAGGACAATTTATTATTGTCACTCAGCTTTTGAAGGACAAGCCATGCAGAAGAGCTCAAGTCAGGGGAGAGAGGCCTTGAACGCAAAAACATTTACGCTTCGGTTAACAGGGAAGCAAGCTGCATGGGGGTTTGCAGAATCCAGTTCTCATTGCATCAGAAAAAAAAAGATGTTTTTATTTCTGCACCTTCAATTTGTGTTTCCTCAGTTTACTGACAAAAGAAATTTTAATTATTTGAACTACAGAAGCTAATGCAGTAAAGGTAAAGATAGGGCTTTTCCTTTCTGCTTCATACTACTGCAACAAGATTGTTGGGCAAACTTTGACTGTATAACCTGTGGTGCCAGTAGCTGTTGTGGAGAGTAGAAGGAATTCAGACCAATTTTGAGGGTATCAGCTGAGTCCGTCACTCCAGCAGGGAAGGAAAGAGGAATCACTGCAAACGAAGCGGAGACTTTTCCAGTAAGACCAGAGATGGTGTGATATAGGTAAATGATATAACAGAGCTAAGAACAACTGCTTCCAAACACAAAACTGTAAGAGGCAAGAGTAATTTCTTGTTTCTATGATCTTTCTCTGATAGAAAGCAATCTATTATTCAGGACAGACAGCACTTAACAGCATCTTCCTGTATATCTGACAGGTCTTGACTATGTCTTTTCGCAGGCTTTTGAGCACCAGCTGGCAGCACGAGATGGGCCGGGCTTTGCTCAGAACCCAACACCTGTTTGTGCCTCACCCACAGAGATGAACAGTCCTCTGGGGCAGTGCCTGGCACTGGGCAGCTGGTCACACTCACACAGAGAAGGGACCCAAAGCAGTTCCCATGAGGTTATCCAGTCCTATGGTTTTCAGTCTGCACTTCAGGGACACACCAGTGATTCATAGGACAAGAGGAGGTGGTCAGTGAAGTGAATGGAGAAAAAGTGAATGGAACAGGTGCAAGAACAGAGCAAGAACACTGAAATGTATCCTAGCCTTTGTCTAGTTTCCTTTCTGTTGTCAGTGAAAATCACCATGGAGGCATAGCACTCGACAGTCTTTGGATTGTTTTCCAAAAGTATGGTTGGAAGAGCACTGTCAGGAAACACCACTGCACCCCAGCTGCCTAGAAACAAAATCACTGTCCCTAACCATTCCTGACAGCCCTGAGTGTCTTACCTTTCTGGAGATGCTTCAGTCCCTGGAGGCAACTGCAATATGGAATTATCCACAACATCAGAAAGTTTGTCTTGCCATCTGTATTGAGTTTTCCCTGCTGCAGTTTGAGCTCATTATGTCTTTCTTTATTTACCTCCACATGCTGGGGAGAACAGATTATTCCCTTTCTCTTTGATGTGGCAAAACAGGGAGCGTTCAGCTCCCTGTTGTTCATACAGCCCTCTCGTGGGGACGGCCTATCCTTCCCCCGCCTTGCTGCCTGCCAGCGAGCCAGAGATGAGCAATGTACTCCAGAGCAGCCCAGGAGCAGCATTCTCCTCAGCTTTCCTTTTCTGTTGCCTTGGTTTTATTTAGTGCTGTCTTTCCAACCTCAACCACCTGCTGGATGTGCCTCTAGTTCTGAGTCCTTTTCCAGCGTTGATTCCTGCCCCTTAGCTGTGTTTCCTTAGGAGCAGCCAAAGCAAATTCCTGCATCCTCTGCACCTACTTTGCTCCTTTGCTGCCCTTCAGGAGGGCTTCCCTTCCTTCACAAAAGACAGCTCTCAAACCTGTGGGGACTGCACCACACACACACATACACACATGCAACCAGCTCTACATTAACCAAGACTCAAGATAACAAAAAAACATGAGAACAACAACAACAAAAAAAAAAGAGCCCTGTGTATAGTCAGTACCTGGAGCTAAACAGAGGTATCCTACTCCTCATATTTTTTTTGTTAATTGTTGCTCTGGACATTTTTGTTTTATCAGATGGAGAAAGACACTTGAGACCTAACTAATTTGTCTCTTGTCAATGGCTCTTTGTTTTCTTTTCGTTTTTTTCCCTCTTCTTTTTTCCCTGGCCCTATAATAATTTCTTTGTTCCCTTCAGTAAGCTGGCCACTCAGAGCATTACATCCCTGTCTTAAACCTGGCTGTATTATGTTCATAACAGCAACAGCAGCATCTGCTGGGATAGCAGTGATGCACGGCCACCAAGGCTCCCTCTGCTAGGCACTGCACAAAAAAAAATCTCACTGTCTGAATCAACCAAACCCAGCTCCACAGTGACCAGGATAAAAGAGATGGAACCCCAGAGGAGAAAGCACCTTTTTATTTTAAAACCAACAAAACACTTTGGACTTTTCTCTCACAGGCACTTTATTGCCCTTGCTAATGGCAAGCTCCCTGTCTATATGAGTGTTAGCTAGCAGCAAGGTACTAATAAACTAATAAAGTAGAGGCAGGGCACAGGCCCAGGCAGTTGCCCATGCACTTAAATGGTTGGCATTGCCCTTGCATGAGTTTGCTGCCAATGCCCAGGCATATTTCAGGAGCTAGTGTGGTTCTCGGCAGGTGGTTTGGGCACAGCTCTCCTGCTCTGGGGGGACAGGAGCACATCCCTTTAGGGATGGCTGGGCATGCCAATGGGTCTTGGGGGTGGAAAACATTCCTTGGCCCATCTTATTAATTTGTGTGGCCGTAAACTTGGTGTCTCAGCACTGCACAGCTTATAATGGATTTACTCATCCCAGCATCCCTGTGAGGCAGGGAAGTGCTGATAAGCCCCTGGGTCTGAGAGGAAAAACAAACTCATGGAAATGCTGAAAGGGCTACATGGCTCCAGAGAAGTCTTCAAGTCCCACAGTCCTCTTGTTTCTCAACTTCCTTCCCCAGCTCCAAGGCTTGAAGCCCCTCAGGCGGGTGAGGATGAGCCAGCCACGAAGATGTGCCCCTGGTCTGGTGGGGATGCTGAGCTGCCCAGGACCACATAGAGCGAGACAAGGGCCACCTCCTTTGAGCTCTGAAGCTGAGAGGAGCCTGCTGAGGCTGGGCAGCTTAAAGCATGAACTGGGCAAGCCTGGTCCAGACAACAGGATCAGGCTTGCACTTAACTTGACCCTTAGGGACTTGCAGAAGCTTAGGCAGGTACGTGGCTCCTCCACCCCACACACTTTGACTTACAGGGATGTACAATGCAGGGTCTCTCAGAGGCCACATGTCAAATCCATATGGATGGTTTGTGCAGAGGAAATTGGCAGGGTCGGGAAGAGTGGAAGGTGCTCAGTGCTTTACAGACACGGTGCCTGAAGTTCCCCTGCTGAGAAAAACAGAAAGCAGTTCAGCATCATGCATTTTCCATTTTCTATTTTTTCCATTCATTTTCCCCATATGTGTGTTCCAAGGGAGATGATCAGTCATTCAGCTACTGGGTCATCTGTCTCTGTTACTAGATCACGTCCATCACTATGGTGTCAGGGACTGCAAATACAGAGAATCTGTGTTCATTAATTATGGCATTATATGAAAACGCACTGTTTTATCAACAGTCATATTTTGAGATTTTTTTTTATAAGCAATATCATTATTTTGATACCTGAACAGTCACAACTGCACCTTTTGACAGAGTGCCCTCAGATTTCCAGGGCTAGCTCCCAGGCACAAGGCTAAAGTCCCTGCAGAGCCATGCACACAGGGGGCAAGGATTTGTGGCAGGAGGAGGGAAGTATTGGGAGCCACAGCTCCCCACCAGCATGTGATGGGTGGCCCTGCCCCAAGACACCCAGATGCAGTGAGCCCACCCCTGGCCATAACCCAGTGAAGAGCTTTACTCTGCCCAGAGGCCAGCTGGAGGCTTCATAGGGCAGGGATGGATCCAGAGGCCATATGGATCCAGGCTGTGAAGCTTCAGCTGTATTTATCTCAGACTGCTTTTCTTCTCAGCTCACCTCTTACTGACACCTGCACACCTCCTGTGTGGTGGAAATATTTGTGCCTTTCCCTGCTCCAGGGTGCTTACAGCAGAGGTGCAGTGAGGGCCCATTACCTGCTCAGGGTGGTGCTGCAAAATTGGGAGGAGGAGGCAAAACCTACTCATGGCCTTACCTTAATTATTACTATTCTCCTTGCTGAGTCTTCTCCTTGCTCAATACTGCCTCTGATAGGAAAGGTGCTTTTCTTGCATATAATTGCTTAAAAGTAAAAGGAAAACTCAGCAAAATGAAAAGCACCACCACCACCACAAAAAAAAAAAATCCACACAAGAAACCTGGGCTTTGTTCACTCTTCTGTTAATTATCCTTAAAGAAAACAATAAAATGAGAAAGCAAAGAAAAAGCCTAAGAAGGTAATTGGGCTGGGCTGCTGAAGAAGCAAGAACCGTGGGAAACAGGGAGATGGCTGCAGACAGCATCACCTTGCAGAAACCCCACATTTTTGAGGTGTGCCTCTCTCACGAGTCCTGTTTTGCGGCAAATCAGAGTAGATGGGGTAATTATGACAGCTGTGCTTTAGACTGGTTTAAGAAGTTGTATTTTCCTGACTGCCTTTGGAGCACAATAGCAGTGGCAGGCAGATTCCTGCCAGCACAGCTTGGCTAAATCTACCAAAACAAGCAACCAACTAGCCTTCTGGAAGAACTTGCTGGGTGATTTTTGATAGGTGTTTGTTTTCAATGACAAGTTTCCGAGGAAAACAGTAGCATTTTAAAACCTACATGTACAGCCAAGAAAGCTTGTGGACTTTTCCCTCCTCCTCTCCAGCAAATACTTTGCTGCCTCTTTTACAATGCCATTTCTATTGACGTAAAGTGAAGATAAGAATTGTTTGCCCACACTGCCTTGCTCAGTTTTCCATGTGTAGCTTCTGGCTGATTTGCTGTGTGCCCCTGCTGAGGTCTCAATCCATTTTCGACTGAAAGCGTCTGGGTTCTTGCTTGGCTTATCATGCCGACACAGCTGGCAACCTATTAATCTCCTGTTCCCGATGCCTTTACTTCAGTGGGAAAGCTCTGGTGCTTTTTAGTGATTTGTATTTGCAGCTAACAGAGGCTGGTGCTCAAAGCCTCTAGGACACTTCTCCACAAAAACCCCTCTCCTGAACTACTGCAGCTGGAAGTGGTTCAGCATTTTTGTCCTTCTTGCTCTAACACTCTCTGTCAAAGATATGGAGATCCATAAAGCAGCTGGGAAAGCAGGTTCAAAAACAGGATCACATTATCTACCAGTAATGCTTTACTCTCATTCACGTCTTTAGTCTAAGGACTTCAAGACACCTACAAACTACTTTCTCAAACACTGATAAAGTGAGGCTCAGTTTTCACTCAGTAGAAGTTTCCCTGTTGAGCATGTGCCATGTTTTTAGGTACATGAATTCTGTCAGCTCCCTCCCCAGCTAAGAGAGGACACTAGTCTGTCAAGGTTATCCAGCAAAGGAGCCCTTGGAATCTCATTCTGCTCAGAAAATTGTTTTAAACTAGGCTGGTGAAAACATTGCTGTGTGATGGTAAACCATTGCCTTTTAGAGCCATGCTGGTGGTACTGTTCTGGCAACTCTTTCTTTCAAAATCCAGCTCAAATGGACTAGAATGGCAATTTCCTGAGCCCAGCCTTGTATGGTAGTGAAGGACTCCCAAGCAGAGACAGGATGCCTGAAAGGGAAAAAATCTTTTATATTGTGGCTGGCTTCTGATTTATGTATACCCATTATGGCTGAAATGTGCTGTCCTGAAAACCTGGGAATCGAAGGTTTTCATCCTGTCCCTGAAAAGAGAAACATAATGTACTGCTTTCCAGTATCCCAAACCAGCTCACAGTTCTCTACCAAAGCAGATTTCTGGTGGGGGGGAGTACAGCATGCTGAGAAGTGCTTGCTCCTCCCCAGCTGCAGCTGCCAGCACCACGGAAGTGGGATTGACTCAGCACTGAGCTGGCCAAGCTAAGCTGGGGATCAGAGAAGTACCCAGGAGCCCCCACATACAAGCACCTGAGCCAGGACGGTGCTGATTTGGATGGCAGCGTTTGCTCTGCACTAAGTGAATCATGGTCTTTGGTTTCCTGCCTTTGTGTTACCATGCAGCACAGAAAAAGCCATGGCTTTCCCTCTCTGCTAAGCTGCCCCGGAGCCAGCTGTGGATGCTTTCCTGAGATGCCTGCCCTCAAAGTCGGGCAGTTATCACGGAAGAACAGCCTGTTCATTTTCAATAAAACTGACACTTGCACTGGCTTGTTCCAAGCCTTTTAATCCCCACCAAGGAGATCCTAGCAACCACTTTCAGAAGAGATCTTTAAATGTAGAAAGGGAAAAGGCTTTTCAGCAGTGGCCATGGGGTTCTTCCAAGTTTGATACCAAGAGGAAGTGGCTGGCTCCAAAAGAGATAACACTAGGACCAATTGTTGTTTTTCAGACTTAAAGAGTAACCAGCTAAAAATGCATGGGACAAACTGTCCACAAAAGCAGATCAGCACAGACCTGTTGGCTAGGCCGAGTTTCACTGGGGAGGCTAGGTGCAGAAGCAAGCATGAGAGCATTGCTGGCAGAGCAGACAGGTCTCTCTGTTAACCTCACCTCCCAGCACTGTTAACAAAAGTGAAGACTCCCATTAGGAAGCTGGGCTCACGAAACTTGGGCTCATGCAAGGACGTGGATGGCCCAGTTTGTGGTGCCTCTGGGGACAGCCCCCAGTGGTGGGGAGGTGGTAGATTTCTCCAGGGAGTACTGAAGTACTGAATTCTGTTCAGCCTGGTTAGTGACCGTTGGTATATGCCCAATCTGGGCATATTTTACAAGCACCTTGAGAAATCGCTTCAGCATAACGAAGCTGTTCAGCGTCCTGGTTCTCTGTGCTTAGGGGACACACAGACTGTCTGCCCTCTTGCATTCCCTTTTCTCTTGCAATGTTTGCATTTGCATTTAAGACGAGCAAAACCTGTCTCCCTCCACCTACCTCACTGCTCACTGTCTCCCTCTGGGCCCCATCAGCCTGGGTTGTAGCAGCCTCTTCCCAGTTCTCCAGCCTGGTCTGATCACATTACCCTCTGTCACAACTCATTTGCAAACAGGGACCTTATTCTTAAATACATCCTTGCATCCCAAATGCAAAGAGATATCTCCACATTTACGTTATCAATATGTAAAAGCGTCAGCAATTTTAGGCCTGGCCACTGGAGACTCCATGGTCCAGACACAACTTCTGCATCTCCTGTTGTGCAGCTGGAGTTCCCCAGCACCTCCCAGCCCTCTCTCTGCCGACCTAGGAAGTCAGATCACTTATATCCATCATGCCATAAGGGTGCAGATCTTGGGGAAGAAATCCTGGGTCTGGCAGGCTGCTCTGGAACCTGACTCCCATTTGAAGCAGCCTTGAGGCCTGAAATTCTGGCAAGGTGAGGGGTTCAGGTATAGCATGTGGATGGGGTACACAGAACAAGGTGATGAATTTTAGTGCACACAGATTGCTGGGGTTCATCTGCATTCAAAGAGACTCTGGGTGTTTAACCAGTGTGAAAACAAAATAGATGCCTCGCATAACCTTGAAAAGAAAACTGATAAAGGTCTTTTAGCTTGCCTAAAACATAAAATGTCTCCTGTACAAAAAATACCTCCAAGATACAAACAACTTCAGGAATACAGATTACATCACTGAAGATGTAGGAGTGTATATGGGAGATGGTGGACTGCAGTCTAGGCTAGGGCATGAAGGCCATAGAGATCTGCCTGTGGGGTCACATGAAGATGCCCATAAATGTAGGTCACCTCAGTTCCAGCATGGAGCAAAGAGAGTGTTCACATCAGGGACAAGAGCAGGGCTGAAGCAGGAACCAGCAGAGGCAGCCAGCAGGGTTTCTTCCCAGGAGTGCTACAACTGTCAGGAAGGCTGTGGCAGAAAAATTACTCACTAGTCTGCTTTAACACGGAGGGGGATGCATAGTAGAAATGAAAGGTTTTCCCAGCTGCTGGAAAGAGCCCCTAGAGAACAGAAGCATGGCAGATTAGGATTTTGACAGCTGTTTTGGGAGTCCACCTGAGGAACTGGTAGGGTTATGGCAGCTAGGAAAACTAGTGAGGGAATTCACACAGTGACTGATAGGCGGTCTGGTAAAGAGCACGTGTGCTGCAGAAACCATGTCAGTTTTGAGCGTTAGCTGCTCTGCTCCAGCTCCTCAGTGATGTGTGTCCAAACTGAGCTGTTGTTTCTCTTCTCAGCTCTCTCCTCTGTCACTCACCAGTCCCACCAGTGTGCAGCACATTGTCCAAGCATGTTTTCTTCTCCTCCCGTTTAGTCCTTGGATTTCCTCCCTCTCTCCAGATTGTGTGTAAACTGGGACTCCTGTGGCAGAAATAGCATGGCAGATTATAAATCCTAGTGAAAAGAAGAGCAATGAAATGCAATATACCACAGGGCAGGGGCAGCTCCTTCATTCAGGTGTTTGGCAAAACTGGTAACTTTGTTATTTTTCTTACCAAGACATTTATCAGCCACCACCTAGATCTTACCCAGTGTGTCTCCAGCGGTGCCCAGACGACCTGCTGGGGTGACTGCTTAGTCTCTGCTCAGAACCAGCAGGGAGAGCCCTGGGAAGAGCTCCCACCTCTGGTGCACTCAGAGGGGTGTGGGGTAGCCCTAGGGCAGTGAGGGGCTTACAGGACAAGCTGGCAAATTGGTGACTGTCACACAAAATCAGGACATGCAGCGCTTTTCAGCACCTGACCCCAGATCAGCCAAAAAGGATTTTGAAAGCGAGATAAAGGGCTCACCTCCCACTGTGGTTTCCCTGCAGAGGCACTGCAGATAGGAGGTTAGAGTTAATTTGTTTTCTGAATTAAATAGAAATTTGGGAGGCTTGAAGCAATTGTGCTTTGTTTTGGTTTTGTGGGGTTTTCCCCATGTTTATCTCAACAATTGGTTTTGCCTGTGAGTTTTTGGTAGCCTCTTCTCAATTAGAACTTAGCTGGTAGGGTGGTGAGAGTTTATTGTGTTACTAATGTGTGCCACTTACTGATCCCTTTCCCCAGGTAGTGAAAACATCCCTGAAATCGATACTTTGAGCATGAAAATGTTATTAAAAAAAGCCCTGGCAAAAATATAATTTTTTTAAACTACAAATCAAATATATAATAAAAGTAGCAGTATCTTGTAGTTCTCTAGCCCTTTTCCCTCATATTTCTCAAAGAACAGCCTCAAAGGCACTTCTCTAGAAACAGAGCACTCCTTTATATAAATTGCCCTTTCTTTCCCAGGTTGCTGTCCTTTCCTTGCTCTCTCCCTCCCTCCCTCCCTCCCTTCCTCTCTCCTTCCCTCTTCTTCCCCTTTCTTTTCTCACCACCTTGCGTGCCACTGACCCACTCCGCCAAGTCACCAGGATCCTGCTTTTTGGAAAATGAAGGGGTGCATCAGAGATGGGTTTTTTTCCAGACCTCAGGGTTGCTCTTTTCAATAAAGAACAGGATCTTGGTGACAGCCGTGCAGAGCAGCCATACCCTTCCCTGGAACAAGCAGCAATGCATCATGCCATGCTCAGAGAGTGCTGCCTCACTCCCTTGCCTCTCTCTGTGTCAAGCTTTTCAAGTTTCTGCAAGAAAAGAAAAAAAGAAAGCTTTCATTCTACAAGGCCAGTATCTAGTTCATAGTTTTTATATCACAGGGAAAATGATAAGCCAGGGTATAACAATGACCTACTTCACATCCTGATAAAATAATTTCCTCTCTCTGTAATTTTTCTTGAAGAATAATATTTGACTAACACAAGCACGTAGGATAGAGGAAGACCGTTTCTGGGAACTGGCTGATAATGTGTCAAATTCAGCCCTGAGACAGACAACTGCCACCCAGTTGACCTACGTGGAGTTAAGCCTATTTATCCCCCAGATTAGAGCTCTGAAAACAATTGGGTTCAAACCTGTAAGATGTGTGCATGTGATAGGGTTGAGGCTGAAAGCTCAGAAGCAGGGGCTATCTGTTACAGCATCCCTCCATCAATGCACCCTCAGCCCACTGCCACCATGGCTGCCTGGGAGCTGCTCTGACTTGCTGCTGTGGTGCAAACGGGCCCCCCCTTTGCAAAACAACTGGTTAGCTCATCCTTTTACACAAAAGGCTACAGTACTGGGTAGGGTACATTACAGTATAGGGCAACCATGCAGCTCTGAATCCACTCACGTCCCCCCTCCCCAAGCACAGAAACAATGCAGACTGTTACAGCTCACTTGCTGGAGCCTACTTAGCTCAATGCATTGGCTGTATTTGTCTGCTGAAGGTGTTTACAAATGTAGATGTGGCATTTTTCGCTTGCAGCATTGCATTGAAGGGCTTTCTCACATCATCTTTCGATGCTGTTCAAATGGATTGCCACCCAGTGCATATCGTCTGCCCTCTCATCTCCCACCTACAGGATTTTTCCTTGTGGTTTGCATCTTTTCTCTTAATGAGTTCTCATTGTCTCATACAGGACACAAATTTGTCATTTGCCACTGCAGATAAGAGGTGACATTGCTCGTACATCCTTGTGTCCTCAGTTGTGCCATATTCCAGCTTGGTGTCAGAGATTGCAGAATGCCTGCTCACCTTCTCTTCACCAAAAATAGACAAAACAGACCAAGGGGGCAAAAATCCATCACCTGCCATGACTTCAGCAAGACACACTGCCCAAGATGGCCAAAGCCAACTAGTGAACAGTATTTACTGCACTTACTGTCAACGTATTTACTGTGTGCTGACTTCCAGCATCATATGCTATGCCACAGCACTAACAAGGTACATGATTTATGGGATGCTGCTGAGAGTAAAATGTAGTTAAAATGTAATTATGGTACTCTTTTTATTTCTTTCCTTGAATAAATGTGGTACGAACCTTGTCTGGTCTATTGACTTTTCTCCAGTTTCTTGTTCCCCAAGGTGGAGAGTTCCCCTGGATTTCTAGAGATGGAAAACTACCAACTGCTGGGCTCTGACAGGAGAAGGGTAACAAGCATCTTGGCATAGAGATGGAAACCCCTTTTGACAGCTCTGTTCCTCAGGCACAACGGGCCTTTCTATCAAAGCTCATGTGTGCAGTAGACAACTTTCTTGGATGCTGCTCAGGGGAAACTACAGCCTTAAAAGCTGTACCTCTTCCCATTGTACGTCTTTCATTAGCATTGCCTTCTTTTGTGTAGAGATGCACCTATATATACACTTAGAACCACGTAGAATAAAAATGAGATACTGGGCTGCAAATGTAGTTCTGCCCTCTGCACAAAGCAGTAGGGAGGACATGCACCAGAAGTAACAGCATCCAGCCTCCATGCTCCATGCAGTTCCCCAGAAATTACTGAAGATACTGTTCCTTGTCTTGTGCAGATCCTCACTACCTTTGGAGTTTCACTGAAAAGTGATTTGTTTTCAATTCAGAAGAAGGGATACAAGTCTGTGCAATTTATCCATTTTCCTTTTGCCTCTATTGAAGGAAAAGAAGGACCTGTAACAATTTATGGTACAGGGACTGGTACCTGATTTTGGTCAGGAATGCGATTGTCACCTGTACCACTCTTATACTAAGCTGTGAGGTTCACTGTTGAAACAGCATTGCTGCTCAAGCTGTTACCACACTACAGGTAGCTCTGAGCTCCCTCACCATTACAGCAGAGCAGCCACACAGAGTCTTCTCATGCCTTTGAGTGGAACACCTGCTGGGCTGAAGGTGCCTAATACTGAATTAAACACTGTAATTTTGCAGCCAGGTGGCTGTGGAGCACACTTGCCTTTAAGGCTCTGCTATGGAGGGAGGAGCCCCAAGAACAAGCGTGGCAATAGGCTGCCCTGGTGGTAACCTTTCAAACAGCTGCAGCTGTTTGCAAAGTGAACCTGCATCTGCACACATAATGTTTTTCCCTTTTCCAACAAGAATAAGCCATATTAGCATTATCCTGGCACAACTGCATCCATACTCTGGGGAGTTAGCTGCAATAGTATTGTTAAAGCAATTCAGCTTTTCTAAGTAGACAAGCTATAATTACACTAAATTAAAATAGAATGCTTTTGTTCTAACTTCAGCATCCCCACGAGGACTTGCACCAAAATAACCAAAGGCACATATTAAGCCATTTCTGTTATTTTAGTACATGCCTGAGCACAGGCAGGCTCCCACTCCAATCCTTCTACCTGTCACTCTTGGCAGAACTCAGCTGTCTGGGTGATCTCCTCACAGGCTTCATCACAGAGGGATAAAAGTATGAAAGCATCCAATGGGGAAACGCTTCTTGGTTGTAGCTGGGTGCCCTGTGATGACTCTCTGGGGCTAATGTCACATGTGGTAGCACTATCTTTGTTAATTTAGGGGAACTTAATTCTGCAGGACTGCGGTGTCCCACGAGAGGTCAATGGCCCCTATGGGTCTTGAGCATGAGGGTTACACTGAGCCCCTATGCTCTGCTGGCTGCTCCATCCTTGCCTGGCTGTGCTCCTTGCAGGAAGTGGGTGCTGCCACCCTGGTGTGGGGCTGCAGGGCGATATTCCTTCCCCACACCTTCAACTGCATGCATAGGGCATCCAACCTGGGGTCTTCCCAGCTGCCTTCAGCCACGGAGGACCTTGGGTCTGGCCCTGCTTTGGAATGCCCAAAATGTCTAAGTGCACAAGTGCCACAACCCTATGGAGAGCCACAGTGACACTTCCCGTGGAAGAAGCCAGGGCACTTAGGAAAACAAGATCAGATGTACAGAGTGATTATTTCCATAAGGCATGAGCCTTTGCAAGGCCTTCAGTGGTCCAACCACACAGAGCTTCAGGTTTTCCTGAAGCTGGAAGATGACATCCCCACAGGCCTGACACTTCCAGTTCCTCCAGTTACCCTGAGACAGACAGATGGGGCATGATGGGCAGATGTAGCATGTGCTGCAGAACTAAACCAGCTGCCTCACATGGGTTTCCATTTCAGTGAGGGAAACAGTAGGGTGCACTGGGAACTCAGATGCTGAAAACGGTAAACTGAAATCCCGACTCTGCCACAGACTTATCACCACTAATTTGGGTAAGTTGTCTCAGATACCTGCACTCGATGCCTGCCAAGTGAGGTATCCCAGATACTCCAGGTGTCATGGTTCATGTTTGTACAGTGCTGCTAAGGTCCCCAGCAGAAATGTGTTAATAATGTTCCCAATTTAGGGTAGAGGCAAGCCATTCACCAGCCTTACATTTCCAGTGTTCAACTGCAAAACCTTCGACGGCCAACTTATTTCAACGGTGCCAAAAATGAAGTGCTCCCTTTCCCACGGCACACGGCCCAGTTTATCCTTCCCCAAGGGTGCGGGTGGGAGCTCACTGAGCAAACACGCCGAGAGCACGCCACCGCAACTTCACGGCTCTCCTGCCCTGCTAAGTGCGATCCGCTCCGCCCCTCCGGGAGAAGGGCGCAGGTAGATAGGGCCAAGACATGCGCTGGGGAGCCAGCAGGGCCGCCGGTGAAGCCCCTGGCCCGCGGCGAAGCCCTGCCACGGCTGAGGGTGCCTCAGAGCAGCGCGCGCAAATCTGCCCCT